CAGCCTGGCAAGCTAAAGTTTGAATTTATACCTCACCGTTGGGATTGTGGGATCTTTAGTACAAACTATGTTCAGCTCATAACTCTGATTTGATGGTCTCTCCTCAACTTTCAATTTACGTAATCCCTTAGACATTAAAGCTTTGGAATTGTTTTAATAGTTCTTAAGAGTGTCTGCATTGCATTAAACGTGTTAATACCTCTAGAACTTACAGGTATTATGCCGTATTAACTGTTTTTTAATTAGTATTTGTTTAGACAGAGGAATCGCCTTCATTATAATGTATTTGTAATAACTGGAGAAGGCACGGAGAGAGGAAATTATGCAAATACAGAGTGTGTTTAAGATGAGCCTGTGTACTCAAGACAAAGAGATGGTGTGGCCTCACGCTGGGAGGAAATCTGTACTACTTATCCCCGTTAGCCTGCAGACATTTGCATCTTTGTTCCGCCCAGCAGGGGCTCTCTGCAGTGCTGCGGCTAACTTCTGATGGAGCGCCTCCATTATCTGTTTCAAAGCCTTCAAGACGGGCGTTTGGCAAGCTGTGTGGCAGTGTCTGGTGGTTCTAAGCAAACATCTGGATGTGACATCGGCTTTATCGTTGAGGGGGGGGGGGTACATCGTGAAAGCTGCCTGGCTTGGCTATGTGACAATTCCCCATTATCTACAAAGACTAGAGAATCACACGTAGATTGCAACACCTGATTTAAATTCTGCGGGAAAGCTCGCCAATGCCAACGCAGATGTTCCTCGGATGGTCCCATTACTCAATTTTGGAAACTCTCTTCTAAATCAACCCTTTCAAGCAATTTTCTGTATATCTGTAAATGATATACTATCATATGTATATACAGCCAATATTCCTACTACTGCAGTATTTGACAATTTTAAAGAACATTTTAATTATCCAGAATTCTTTATATTGTTCATATTTGATATACTATACTATTTTTCATTTTCATTTGATTTTCAATTGTTAACTCTATTCCACTTTTAAGTATTTGTATTTTAATGTTGTATTTTAATGTTGAACACACTGGTCCTGTTACAAAATAAATTCCCAAATTGGGATTAATACAATATATATCCATCCATCCATCTATCTATCCATCTATCTATCTATCGATCTATCTATCTATCTATCTATCTATCTATCTATCTATCTATCTATCTATCTATCTATCTATCGATCCATCTATCTATCTATCCATCTATCTATCTATCTATCGATCCATCTATCTATCTATCGATCCATCTATCTATCTATCTATCCATCTATCTATCCATCCATCTATCTATCTATCTATCCATCCATCCATCCATCCATCCATCCATCCATCCATCCATCTATCCATCTATCTATCTATCTATCCATCCATCTATCGATCGATCGATCCATCCATCCATCTATCTATCTATCTATCTATCCATCTATCTATCTATCTATCCATCTATCTATCTAGCTATCGATCCATCTATCTATCTATCTATCTATCCATCTATCTATCCATCCATCTATCTATCTATCGATCCATCTATCTATCGATCCATCTATCCATCTATCTATCTATCGATCCATCTATCTATCTATCTATCTATCTAGATGTTTTGTTTTAATAAGCTTTAAATCGTAATGTTCAAACAACATGGATGCTACTTAAAGATGTGCTGTATTTTATTTTATACAACACTGATTCCTGTTTCGGAGGTCGTTCTCCGAATGTAATGGCGCGATGACATGTATCTTCCCAGTTCTTTACTCCTTTTTCAGATTATCCCAACAACACTACCTAAAAATGTGCACATCAACATATATGGGGCTCTTTCTTGGCACACGCTACCCCATTGCAACAAGTTTCACAAAAATGGTGCCAGCAGTTTTTTCTGAAAACCTGCTGACAGACGGAGAAACGGAGCCAAAAACCTAAGCTCCTGGGCAGAGGTAGGAATGAAAACACCCCTTACGCCTGGTAGCCTATGGGAAAATCTGTGTAATAAGTGCCTTGTGCTTTACAATGACACATAGGTGTACTGAAGTCAACTGACCAGTCATGCATGAAAGGGGGGGGGTGGAGGTTAACGCTGCGCCACCATGCCGAGTGTATTCTCAAGGCGTTTGACCGCAGGCCTTCCAGACATGCTGACCCACATGCTTGACCCTGTTGCCCTCAGGCGTTCACAGTTGTTTAAGCTCCAGGCGCTATTCCCTGCTGGGTGCTGCTGTCAGAGCCACCAAATCTCCCCATGGGTTGTCATGCTCACAATAATGAGAACGAATGAGCAGTGGAGTCCTGAAGGCTGCTTTATCCTCCCAGAAAACAAAAAGGAAAAATAATGTCAACAACTTCGTTTTTTGGCAGTAAGCTTTGTTGTTTTGAAGCGATGCTGCACACACATTCTTCTCTTCGTTGGACTCCATTAATCCAATGAAAACAACACCCATTGTTTTGGGGGGGATTGCTCACTTCACACCGTCCATTCACAACACTTCAAGTCTGTCCATTCAGCTGTTGTGGCGCAGGGCTCGGCTTATCCCTAATTTATTTCTTGTAAATCTTCCAGTCTTTGGAGCAATGCAGGTTTATTAAATTCCCACATCTATTAGACACAGATTCCACATGCATACAAAAAGCATGTATTTCCTTTCTAATGACTTCATATGGAAACATGAATCTCACATCACTTCCTTCCTGGAACACTACGCATGACATTTTTTTTTTTTTTTACTGCAAGAATCAAATTGACCCAATTAAAAAGGGTTGGGTGGATGGTTTCAAGTGAACCCGCTCTTAAAAAGGAGAGTTGTAGCCCTTTCGGATTTAACTGTGTTAGTGTAACACGACACCAGGCTTTAGAGTCTGTGCTGGCTGCCCTGAATCTACGTTGGCCTCTGTCCAAGCGATTTGATAAAAAGGGAAAGACGAGAAAGAGAGAGAGAAAGTGAGAAGACTTGCTTTTTCTTTGCAGCCCAGCAGCTCTGCAGGGGGCATTGGCATCTGAGGACCCCCTAAAGGAAACCCTGAAACTAATATGCTTGTAATTGCAGCGCTGTGGCATTTGGAAGAACTCCAAATATTGCATTCGGATGGGTGTGAGGGTGAACTAACAGGAAGTGTGAGCTAGATTCTGGGCCAAAAACCATGCGCGAAAACTTTGAGAGAACTGAGACAATGTGAAGAGCAATTTCCTTTTGAGGTTGCACTCTTGATTGCAATGTGCAGGACTCCGCTCTGTGTCACAGTGAAAGGGGGCCGCATGCCCTGAGGCTTAAATCACGGTGAAGCCTTTACGAGGTTGTAAATTCGAGACCGATGTCTCAGCAGGCGGAGAACTTGAGGAGTAGAAATCCACGTGGGACAGCGAGGAGATTATATAAATCAACCCCCGAGCCAACAAACATACATTAATCGTCATGTCCATCATTCGCAGCTGATCGCGAGTGAGAAGATACAGGGATTGCACCGGGGGGTATAGATTACATCTCATCTCGCCGCTCCCAGAGGGGACTCACTTAGCGGAGGGTGACAAATCCAGCGCGGAGGGAATATCTCGCACCGAAGAAAGCGATGCCTCCGCGATCCGTCATCAGACATGTCAGAAGACACAAAAGGGGGTGTCACAACAAACTACATGTGTGACGGTAGAGATTTGGTCTGCGGTAAATGCGATCGTTCCACAACCGCAGAGAGAAGGCTGTGACGCTTTGCATTTTTTTTTTTTACAAATCTTTTTATTTCATTATAGTGTAAAAGTAATCGATGCCATTTCATTTATATTGTAATATCACAGTACCACAGTACACTCACTACACTTCCCCCTCCCTCCCTCCTTCCACCCGCACATGCCCACACGGACGAAACCTAAACACATTTTTTTTTTTTAATTAATGCATTTTGACTGCAAGCTTCTTTTAAAATCTTCCTCGAACATCATTGCAGAAAACCACTAGTGAGTGTGAATACTTGCTCTTTAAAAGCAGTTCAAGATAGACGTGGCTTTACCTATCTGAACATCTTTCCCACAACACGACAGCTTACACTACTTTTATTGACCGGACAAGTACAGAAAAGGGGAAAAGAAACAATTCAATCACAGGTCGCTGGGAGAGCACGGGCTAATCCATTTAATGATGGATGCACAGGTTACTAGGAGTCAGCATGTGAGGTCAAGCTGACATTTCGTTTAGAGAGGAAGAGCGGAAAGGGGAGGCAGGGATGTCGTGACCCTCAGCTGAGAGGAGACTGATTGAGAGTTGACAGAGCTTCATACAGTGTAGTGATAGTAAGTGTGTCCTCTTGGCAAAAATACATCTTTCACACCCATTAGGGTCCGTAGCATTTTTCAGAGCAGGATTCAAGACTTCCATTGGAAAAATTTAGAAATGAGAATGTGCGGAGGAGGAGGAGGAGGAGTATCCATCTATCTATCTAGCTATAGGGTGCTAAATCCCTGCAGACCTTTTATCGTGTCTGCATCTGGGCACCGAGCCTACAACATCAGGCACACATTTTTCAACTGGGCTTTTTCCAGACGAGCGCACCACTTGGCTGAACCCCGGCCAAGAGTAAAACAGAGCTCATTACTGAGCAATGCGCTCGCAGGCTTGCATTCGAAATGTTTAAGTAGATGTAAAATATGAACTCTGAGGAGGAGAGAGCGTTCCAACTGTATATCACTTGGAAGAAAAGTGCAGATTTTTGGCTTGAGAATGCTAGTGGAAGGTCACACCCACGGAAGATATGGGCATGTCACCAACTTTCATATCAAGTGATGGTACGTTTGACACATGATAATGGAGACGAGGGGAGATGGCTCATTAATCAATAATTTACCTTAACGTTTTCAATTAATACTAATAAAGCTATTTGAATTGAAGATGGAGATTGCATATCTAGGTAGTCGGACATTGTATTGACTCACCCATCATTGGGGCTGAGTGGCGCTTCCCTCCTTTGCTCTAATGGTAATTATGTGAACATAAAGGTATCCGGTGGACTTACTTGACCCTCTGGATCCAGGTGCAGTAGTCTGTGATGTACAGGTCGTTCAGGATGTAGGCCGGGTCGTTCTCTCTGAACACTTTGTGAATATCCAGCAGGCATTTGAGGACACCGGTTTTCCCTGGGCGAAGGAAAATGGAAAAACAGTGTTATTCTCGCTCAGTGTTAAGGATGACAATGCACTCCAGCTGCTGGCAGGCGCAGCATGCATCTAAAGGCTGGCAGTCATTGTTCCATACATAAAAGCCGAGGTAAGGGATCAGAGGAAAATCCCAGCGAGCTGCGGAGTAATTTGATCTATACGGTTTAAGAAGTTCGTTTGAGACAAACTCTATTTTTGGTTCAATTTTTCTGTTTAATGGGAGCTCTGCTTAGACTTTCTGTCAAAAACGTGTTTGCCTTGATCTGTCAAAAATAGCACTGACTGTTTTTGATGATTCCTGACTTGACAGCCATTGAAGTCTGCCCATCCAACACCATTATAGTCAACATCTGAATCCATTTTGCCTGTGATCTCACATCTGATCTGATCTGAAGACCTGATTTATATATGTTTTGAAGAAAGACATTTTGCCTTTTGTTTTTTACTTTAGGGCTAGGAACATTTGTTTCTGAAAATCCTGTCTGATCTTTTTTTACAGTAATATCTTGCCAAGGCTTGTAGCCCAGACTCAACTTATAAACACAGTTACAATCTTATCATGAAGATTGTGTATTATTGATTTGCCAGCCACTCCGACTCACAGCTTAAGTGTTTGAACTGTATTTATTTTTGCCACTCAACACCTCCTATGAATGGGTATTAGTAGGAGATATGGAAACAGCTGCTGTGTTGACTGAGCCTACTTATGCTCAATCACAACACTTTCAGGGATGACTCTTCTCCCGCCCTGAATGCAAATGGCTCCTGCTAGAGAAGATATATTTATGCAGAAATCATACAAAAGATCTCAGCACACATAACTGAAACTTTCTGGACACTTAGATACCAAATAAATAGCCAGTTGAATATTTTGAGCTTTTGGATATTGTTGAAGTGATGCTTCATAAGGAATGCTTTTCAGTTAATCACCAGACTTTGGTTTTCATGCAGAAAAATGTGCCTTAGTTCGGCTGTGAACCATTTACTTCAAATCATCAAGACTTTTCTTTTTTCGGATCCTTGTTACCTTGTAATTATCGAAGCAGGCAAGTTCTCTTAATAAATTCAAGGTAACAAAGGTAAATAATTGATTTTAGAAAATGGTAATTTTGAAGATGTATTCATTAAACAACCTAGAAACAGCAGTAAAGACACAATTTTACATACGCAACACTACTTTGTATGTTAAAGGTCCCATGTCATGCTTTTCTGGTTATTACCCGTCCCCTTGTGTGTTATGAAGGTTTTTATGCATGTAAACGGTCTGCAGAGTCAAAACCCTCAAAGTACACCCTGTAGCGAGTAAAACTCTAACACAGAAAATACCTCCCCAAAACGCCTCGTTGGAGATACGTCACTGTCCATTGATTTTTCCGGGTACCGCATGATGTCATGGGTTACCCGGAACCAAATGGACCAACCGTGGAGCCGTTACGTCCGCGGAGCCGTTACGTTAAGCCCCCGCTGATTGGCCCAAATTGACCAATCCACGCACTTCCTCACACACACACTCAGTGCAGGCAGCTCTGCTGATCTCTCCTCCCTGGCTGCAGGCTGATAACAGACAGTTGGGATCGCGGCGAAATTCTCTCTGCAGACCCATTCTCACAGCGTTTATCAACCTTTTTCTTACTCAATATCAAGCCACACTTATTGTTTTTACTTCGGCTGTGACTTTGTGTGTGCTCAGGGTGAGTTTGGCTGTGTTTCGCTGTGTATCGCTAAACAAGGAAACAACACCTCCACGGAGCTCAGCGCGATTCACAACGTCCTGACCAATCAGAGCACACTGTGCTCACAGGGAGGGTGGGGGCTGGAGCTATTGGAGCTACAACGAGCCGTTAAAGGCAGAGAGTGAAATTCAGTGAATACACGTAGTTTACAGAGATGCTGTATGAGAAACCAATGTGAGTTTGGAAAATTGCACAATATAAATCTATTCTAGTAGACCTCAACAATGGAATTATGATCAGTGGAAATGGCCATGACATGGGACCTTTAATGGAAAGACACGCATTCTCTCAGGTATTTCTCCCACAACAATATGCATAAATAAATGGCATATCTTGGACATAGTTTGATTTGACATCAATGTGTTAAGCACCACTGTAGAATAATAGACTGGCCACAATGCTTCGTCAAATACACACACGGCGTGTCCATGTCCGCACTGCAGATAACGCCACTCGACTCACCACCAATGGAAAGCAGCAGCAGCTGAGGC